GAGAGAGAGAGAGAGAGAGAGAGAGAGAGAGAGAGAGAGAGAGAGAGAAGGGAAGAGGGGGCATTTGTGCAGACACCACTCCCCATGGGGCCTTGTGTGAGTGTGTAAAGGTGTGCAGGAGTGTGTGGGAAAGAACGATTGGCAATGTGTGAATTTGTGAATATGTGTGAGAGCAAGACGAGCAAAAAAGAATTTAAAAAAAAAAAAAAGGAAAAAGAAAGATTTACACAAGCTTGTGTCTCTGTACAGCATTTAAGAGATGCAATCAGAACCTGGATAGAGCCCTGGGTCCCAGCCCAGGGCTACAAACCTCATCTCTCACATACACACATGCACACACCTGGTTTTTCTCTGGGGGGCCATGAATACACGTCAGTGCTCTGTCTTCATCTAGCAATACAAACAGCTGTCTGCTGCTTCAATGTCACTTTCATGGCCATACAGGTAAAAAGCAGGAAGTCATTACATCCTGACTTTACTACAGAGCCACCAGAGGATGGAAATGGAAACATGTAGGTTTTATGGTCAAATATCACAAACCGTCCAAGGTTTACACCAGAGTGCTGAGGGGAGAAAAAAAAGAACATGATGCTCCTGTGTGTGTGTGTGTGTGTGTGTGTGTGTGTGTGTGTGTGTGTGTGTGTGTGTGTGTGTGTGGTAGATCTTCTATGGCTCAGTAAACAGTGAGTGACCAGCCTGAGGTAACATACCTGACAATTTAAACAATAGTTCAGAGGCCATTTTGACCGATATGTCTTGCGAGAAGAGATCTTTCTGGGGGCATGCCAACGTCTCGTGGAGGTTACTCATTGGCTCGCTCTTTTCACTCGCCCCTAAAGTGCTGAAGGCTAGCATGTGGGAGGCAGGTGGGGTGAGGTCTGCAGGTGGCGGGTCCACCTCCATGGGTTCTGCCTTTACCTTCACCTTCTGGTATTGGGCATCTTTGTTGTTCTCTGTGGAAAATAAGCAAACAAGGAGCAATTATTAGGGTTTCTTCAAAGAGATTCAACCAGCACACCCAAATATTTGTAGGTAAAGATTTCACTCTAGCTTACTGTGATACCGAAACCACAGAAAACCCTGAGCAATAACTTAATAAGAAAAATTAGCAGTATTATTACAATTATTATTGTATATTTTTACTACATTAGTGCATACTTAATGAATTTTTAAGATTAAACAGAAACATACAGTACGCCATTTACATTAAACCATTGGTTCCAGTCAGTTTTGGAGTTACGACCCCTCATAATGATTCATATATACATGTATAGTTACTGTAGCAGGTTCATCCAATCATCCAATTACCTCTGATCATTTCAGGAAGCCCAGTAAAGTAAAACTTTCCTTAAAAACAAAAACAAAAGAACAGTCCCTCATTCCTCTTGAATAACATTATTCATCCTCAAATTTCATGATCATTTCCATTTTTCCACACCTCGCCTTATTTCAGATTTTAACATCACTACACCTGTCCTGTTTGCCTGCATTCCCCCAGCCAATCAGACCCGGGTCCTTAAACTAATTATAATTGATGGCCCTTGTTCTTGTATTCCAATTAATCCATCCTTATTGAACATTTTATAAAACTCTCTATTGTTAATTTGTCTAGACTTAGCGCAGTATAATATTACACTGCACTTTTTCAAGTAAACCTGACAACAGAACGGTGTAATTGCTGATGAAAGTGCTTCATTTGGCACGTTTTTCCTCTAAAATTACCTAACAGACGTGATTACTCTGTTTAAGCAAAGTCTATTTTAAGAAAAGTAAAACCCTCCCTCTTCTATCTTTGAACATACTAAGTTAAATCAGCGATCCTGGCATTTCCTGACATTTCCTGACTTCAGAAGGCAAAAACAAAAAAGGTTTACACCACTCACTTCAATTGTTGTCGATCACTAACGATTAAAAAAAAAAAAAAAAGAAATCCAAATAGATTTGTAATGATCAGCATGATTACATTATGAAATTCTAGTTTATTTTCCCTGCCTGAATCACATTCACTTAACCGAGATTCACTCCATACCCCACCCATCCCTTCTGCCCATCCTACCCCCACAGAGACCCTAAACCCCAGCAGGGGGGCATGCCGTTTTAAAAGAATCAAGTAAGACTTCAGTTTAAACTTCTTTAAAAAGGGGAAAAAACATTTAGTTAATTCAAATTTCACCATCTCACCAGAACAAAACACTCAAACTCTCCCTTCAGGTCCAAGTAAATTAAGCATCCTGCATGCGTGTTTACAGATGTTGCATGAATGGAATTAAATCTAAACCAGCGGAAATCCGAATAACAGCCAAAGCATGAGAGCACTGGCTCTAAAGCTGAGCTGAGCCGGTTAGCATCTAGCTGTGTGATTATGAGGGCAAGAGGGCAGCGGGAGGTCATGCTGTCGCTTGAGGACAGCAGTCCATGTAGGTTTACTGAGGCAAGCAACAGAGACAGTAAAACCCTTTAAATGTTACCTAGGAAGCAATGCCTCTCTGTTTATGATGACACGTGTAATGTGCTCCCCTCCCCAACATCTCGCAATCAATGATGCAAAATGCTAAAGCAACCAATGACTTGTTTCTCGTGCAAGTTTAAAGAAGGGAGCAGCTAAAAATAGTCATGAGGGAGATGGCAGCTGTTAGGAATGTCCTGAACTGATCTAGACTCAAATTCCATCCATGGATGTTTAAAGAAAAATATGAAGAAACTGGGGTTACACCGAGCTATTTCAGTGTCACAAGCTCTCCAGTGGTCTTGATTGCTATATTTACCAGATTAAATGTACTTCTGAGTTCATTTTACAGCAGGTTTTTACTGTGCAGCTGCATAATGAGGAAAAATAAATAAGTAACTTATATCCAAGACACAAAAACAACAACAAAACCCCCAAAAAAGAACAACATTGGGACATCCTTAAGCATCTGCAATTCCAAGATAGCTGATCTTTGACCAGAGTGATGGCAGGAGGCAGAGTCTCGGTGTGATGACAAACAGAAGCAAGACAAAGCAGTGGGGTTTATACAGTGCTGCTGACATGGCGACTCACACGATTAAAGGGATATACAAATTTGGCAGGACATCAGGAGCAGTGGGAGGCGTGGGGGAGGCTACAGGAGCAGGAGAGAAAGACAGGAGGGCAATAAAAGACCTGGGCTAACCCTGCCACCTCTCCTCTTATTCTTTATCCGTCTGGTCAAAAAGGCCAACGTGAGACAAACACTGGTCCTGCATTAAAACTGAATTTACTAAATCCATGTGTATGCATACACTCCTGTGTTTATGTGCATGAAATACGTGCTACCAGCCCCTTGCCTCCTCCCTGAGGTCCAGGTGTCTGCTTTATTGGTAGTAGCCAGCATGTGGGGGACACTGACAACCATCAGCCCCACTAATCCCTTAATCAGGTGGCCAGAGTTGGCCAAGAGTAACCTCAGAGAGGCTGATGGAGAAGCACAGGAGAGGCGGAGGAGATAGAACGGAGGGTGGAGGGGGTAGGGGGCACTGCACTGTCAGGGTCAACCAAGGGACACTCGAGCCTTTACCATCAGATCTCCACCCTAGTGACAGAGGCTGCGTGAACTGATCTGCTGCAAAACAGATGAAATGCACCAATGTACCAGAGGATCATTCACGTGTTAGGATAAATATGCTCATAACTCAAAAAGCCATGACACAACGATCACATGATAACAGACGTAGCACATTTTAAAGGGCTTACTTCTCCAGGATGTCTGGATGGGCGATGTGCTCTCATGCAACCAAACATGTTCTGGTATCAGTGGTTAAGAAAGACCTATTTTCAGCCGTCATATAAATATGGACAAGTGCACACTTATCATTTGAGCATTAAATAACTACCTTAAATTATTTAAAATGCTGCAGCAGTTTTTTTTTTTTAAGTTGAGAGTGTGCCGTGCACTGCAGCAAATTTAGTTAATTTAGAAAAAACATGGACAGATTTTCTTTTCAATCAATCAACTGGTTGAAGAGTAGTCACAGTTTCAGTCCAACAATTTTGATTGGTCGAATTCATCCCTAAACATTTGATCTTAAACACGCAGACACTGAAAGGATCACATCACAGCAGGCTGGATGAAAAGTCTACCTGTCACCAAATAAAAAAATGAAAATGTGGCCTTACTCCCACATTGATAATAGCTATGGCTTTTTGGTTGGGGTCATGACCTAATGTTCTGAAGCCATAAAAAGCAGCCCTTACACTGTCTGAATCCAGCCCGTGCAAGAGCGTGTGTGTGTTTGTGTGGGTGTTTGTGTGTGTGTTGGTGTGTGGTAGTGACGGTGTGTGTGTGTGTGTGTGTGTGTGTGTGTGTTGTGTTGGTGTGTTAGTGTGTTAGTGTGTTCTGTAGTGCAGAAGCCTCCAGCTGCCATTAGGCCACAGAATCAGGTCTGGAAAAATGTCTCAGTGTGCATGGTACGCACAAAAGAGACTGTGCCCTTTCTCAATAAATATCATAGCTTTTCTTTAGTGTCACTGTTGCTCCAGCACCACTATTTCAAGATGGGAACCAGACTACACAAAAATAGTAAAAGGAGTTTGTCACATCTGGGATATTTCCATTTCCATTAATATTCTATTTTTAAAACTTTCTGTGGCTAATTTCTTAGAGCTTCCTCCACTTTCCTGATGGTTTCCATGGCAGCATTTCATTAATTAATACAGTACTGTACAAAAGTCTCGAGCCACACCTCATTTCTTTATATTTTGCTCAAGGAGCCAAACTTTCTTGCATTTTTTTAAGTGGTCTTCAGCATTAGTTATCTGGGATTTCTTTGGACTCTCGCTGCTTCTTCACTCATTTTTTAATCCAGTCTTTGTAATGACCATTTTCAGAGAAATCTTTTTAAGTTTGTTTTGACCTATGAATCATTCAAGCATAAAAAATAAAATAAAATCGTCAAACACAAGGGATGAACCAATGTTGTGTCTACAGATCTTAGGAAGCTTAGGAAAGAATTAATTTCAAGTTGGATCGTTGCTACTAGCAGCTTGTTTGAAAAATAAATAATCTGTTCCAGTTTGTTTAGATGAATCTCTGAAAAATGGTAAAGATAACACAGTTTGACAGACATTAAATAGAAGTTTTGCACCAACAATGTGACTCACAAAAACCTACTGGCAAAAACTTGATATTTCTCTGCATAGTGCCAGTGTGTCATTAAAAATGAAAATGGACAAGTGGAGGACAAGTGCACACCTAAAAAATTTAAAAAACTATGTACCGCAGATGGAACAGCAGTTAAACGCCATGTCTTTTAGGAATCAGAAGACTGACACAGGACCTGAAACATGGATCTAATTGTCAACGGCTTAATTTTTAGCATGGCAACGATCCCAAACACACTGCAAGTGCAGTAAAAGCATACCTGGATAGAGAAAAAACAACAACAAAACCACACAGTGGAACGCCATCACTCATGGATCGGCTTCTCCAGAGCCTGAACCTCAACCTTATTGAAGCAGTGTAGGATCATCGTGACAGAACAGAATAAAAGGCAGCCAACGTCCAAAAGATTCACTTCAAGCTCGTGAGAATTGTACAGATTCTTTTTTTGTCTTTGCTAATACTACGCTGTATTTTCATTTTTGGTTTGCACATGTTTCAATAATTTACTGCACCTAATTCGTACATGTTTTTGCAAATTCCTTGCAAAAACGTGTAACTCAAAAGAAATTCAATGACTGATTTGAGACGTTTGCACAGTACTTTAAGTGTCCACTTCCTCTTGATATATGTCAAAATAACAGACACAAAGGTTGTGTCTATTTGCCATTTTCTCAAGGCTCAAGATCTTTTTTCAGTTCTTAAGAGCAGATGAAACAATTTCACAGACTTGCACATATCATTGTCGTTCCGAATCTTTTTAAAATAAGAAGTGGCCTTTTAGTTTAATTTGGGTTTAGTTTCAGTACTTCACGTCTTTGTGTCTCTGTTTTACC